GCCAGCATTCTGGCTGGCTGGGGAATTCTGGGAGTTGGTCCACACATCTGAAAGTTGCTGAGGTTGAGAAACACTGCTCCATGCATTATCAGGGCAGCGTGTAAGAGGACCTGTGTTGGCTTGGGGAAAAAAAGCCCTATTTTGTCCATGTCCTCCAATGTCCTTCTCACCTTATCAATAAGATCCACCTCCAACTCATACATGTTTGATACTCGAAGGTAAGCTGTAGCCGGTCCTAAGAATGCAAGGCAGAGATCGTAGACCTCCAGGGCCAAAGAACCAGGCAGGACTGGAACAACCTGAAAAAGGCTACCATAAGTCCAAACTGGGAAGGTAAAATCAGAGCTGCGCTATATTTTCATAATTTTGTTTTAATCCAGGTTACAATCCCAGGGCAATTTAATAGCAATGACTCATATTAGTAAAATCATGGTTTCTACGATCAGCATGGAGACGCCACTAGGAGCAAAGATAAATCTTGAATTCCGAGGTCAGAAAATGGCATAGCTGAGCCTCGTCTGAACTTCCAACAACTAAATGAACTGACAACCAACTGAGCTTCCTTGGCTTCAGCATGGCCGAGAGGGTCATATGAAAGAAAGATGGCATGACTATCTAAAATGCCAGTCTCTCTCTCTCCCCCACACAAGGATCTCCAGGACCACACCCCACATGGGCACTCACTTGGATGGTGCTCTCCGTTTCCAGGTAGGTAATGTTTGCCATGTCCTCTGTGCTGCTGTTGACGAGGAAGTACCCAGAGCCTTCCACCAGGGCAAAGACTTCCTAGGTGGGCACAAGCACTGGAAATGTTTAAAGGCTTCCAAAACACAAATAAAGAATCATTTGGACGCTCCACGTCAAGAGCTGACTGAAGCTGTCCTTGGTCCTACCTTTACGTCAGGATGGTTGTACATGGTGACGTTATCGGGGACCACAGTTACATCCTCAACCAGCAAGAGTTCCACAGCTGCAGAAGCAGGAGAGTTAGAGACCTCCTAAGTGCACAACAAAATCAACAACAACAGTGTCTAGACAGGAAGCTCAGCCCTCATGGAGGTCATTGTTCCTTCCACTCCAAAGCCGAACAAGGTTGGTTCTTCCTATTTCCACCTCCAGGAACCATCTGATCCCTCAACAGCTCCTTTCCTTCAAAAGGGATACACCTTCAGGAGGATGGCAAGGGATCGGCTTGGATGGCTAACACCCACTGAGAAGTTATGGAACGCTATGGTTGGAATGGGCCATTAAGTCCAATCCTTTGTTTGTGAAAGGGTTCACATGACAGCATCTCAGGTGTCTACCTGAACCCATCTAGAGATGGAGAACCCATCAATGTCCTCACATTGCCCAACTGCCCGTTATTCTTTGTCTTGCCCTCTGAGATAACACAACAGGTCCTGATCTTCTGTGTAATGCTCCTTTAGGTATTTAAGAGAGGGTTATCAGACCCCCATTGGGTCTTCCCTTCTAAAGACTTTCTTCAGTCTCTCCTTATGGGGCATTGTTTCTACCCAGCCTTTCCCTTACACTCACTTTTGGGCTGCCTCTCTCAGAATACTTCACAAAGTTCACTGCAATCAAAACTGTCCCTTTGATCTGGTGCACCTCTAACAGCTGGTGTCCTGGAAGGAGCCAAATGGACAAGGCGTTGGAAGAAATGAGGAGAAAAAAGAGAAATCGGGAGAAAACTAGCAAACGCTACCTTCAAGAAGGAAGAACAGAGGAGACACAAGGTCCTCCTGGAGGCATATATGTAGGCTCAAAGGCAATGGGTGAGGGACACATTTTACTGATGTTGAGCAGTACCGTGGAGCCTTGTCTGTCCAGTCCCATCATCCTTGGCTACCATCTGCATGGATCTTGGGTGAGTGAAGCGAGCAAGGGTTTCATTGGCCGACGTCCACTCCAGGATCAGAGAAGAAAAATTGTCAAACTTTCTCCGGTGCTGGTCAAACAAAGCGAGCTCCAAAACTGTGTTCCTCAAACTGGACACAGGGACCTGGAAGCGTCAACACCCCGATTTAATTTTAACGGCACACAAAGGAGAAAGGTATGAGTACCCCATCTCTGTGTAACAAGGAGGACGATCAACTTTGCAAACTAAGGGAAAGGCGGCTTGAAATGTAATAATTGGAGGATTACAAGGAAAGGTTTCAGTGTTGATTCATCAGTATGGCCGACTTATTTCAAAAAACAATTCTTTCGACTGAAAAGTTGCTATGATTGAATACAAACTTTGGGGCCAGTCACCAATATTTGTATTTAGCCAGGCCAAGCTACACATTTCTTACTGCACTCCGATGGATCTTGCCAAGCTACAGGCCACTCTGATTTTTGGTGGGGCTAGAGCAGGGTTTCTCAACCGTGGCGACTTGAAGATGTTGAGAAACCCTGGGCTAGAGAATTCAGCCAGCAAAGTTCCACTCGGGCTCTGTCAATTTACCTTCTAGCCGAATCTCTTGATATTTCAAAATGTCAGCAGCTGTTCCTTCAAATGGCCATCTGTTTCCTGAGATTCCCAGGCAAACGTGCACATCAGAGCAGCATCCCGCGGCATCTTTAACACTTTCCTCCCACACTTACCAGCTGCTTGTGGTGCTGAGGCAAGGGACAGGGAGGTGCGCCAACTGCCAACTTATACACAGGTGTAACAGCCATGCTGGCAGGATGGGCGCAAATGAAGTTGACTTGCACCATCTCCACGGCAGGGCTGGGGTTCAGCACTCCTGGGTGATTGCCCACTTGGAAGGTGAAGATCTTTGGGGAGCAAGCAAAGCAGGGTGATCATCTGTCCCTCGGCCTGAGCCTTCCCACCAGCTGAGGGGTCGCTAGACTGCTGCATTTCAAACCAGAAAGCGACATGCAGCTGGAAACGTTAATAAATCAGCCACAGCAGTAGTGCTCCCAGCATAGGCGCCAGCGCTACAGAATCTATGTCCTCCCCTTTCAAGACTTTCCTTATCAAGAACATCTTTCAGGAGAAGATATTCACACGCCTTCCTTTTACCTGTTCCCCCAATTCCAAGCATGTGACTCTGTAAATGTACTGGTTCTGCTTCCTCCGAGCTGGCAAACGAACCTCCACCACGTGGAACTTGTTTTTATCGTCCACTTTGAGTTCCAGGAAGAAGCGGGACGGCTCCAAAACCCAGGGTCCGGGCCCTCCCTCAAAGACCATTTCCTTCATGGAGTGCCAGGTCACCAATGCCACTTGCACGGGGTTCACTGCCTGGCCGCAAGAGGAAAGCATTTTGTGGGAATATGTTGGGGGCTAGACTTTCCAACTCAGGGCAGAAGTGCCAGTTAGGTCAACAACCAAGGCTGAAAAGCAGGAGGCAAAACTCCGTCAAGCTAGAGAAAGGTTAGGAAAAAGGAGGACCAGGATTAAACCAGGAACTCCTGGAAGGGAGACTGTTGGGTGTAGTGGTTAAGGCACCAGGCTAGGAACTGGAAGCCTGTGAGTTCTAGTTTTGTTTTAGGCAAAAAGCCAGCTGGGTGATCTTGGGCCAGTCACTCTTTCTCAGCCCTAGGAAGCAGGCAATGGCAAACGGCTTCCGTAAAACCTTGCCAAGAAAACTGCAGGGACTTGTCCAGGCAGTTGCCAGGAGTCAAAAACTGACTCAAAGGCACCAACCCCCCCACCAAAAACGCTGAGGAAGCCTGGCAGAACTATCGCTATGGTGCACGAAGACCTGGCTTCCAGAACACCAGTGTCATTACCTATAGTTCTTCGGACGGAGGGCTAACTTTTCTGAAGCCGCAACCGACACCCTTGCTGGCGAGCCACCTAGTTGCGTAAGTGACCATAAAAAGAGGAAACGGGAAGAACAAAACAAAAAACGGACAGGAGTTTCCACCTTGAATCAAGGCCAGGCAGGAGATTCCCTCACCTTGAGAGGTTCGTAAGCTGCAAAAGTCGCGCTGGTTTCAAAATATTCCTCAGAGATGGTGGCGCTGGCTGTCACTAGCGCGTGCCCCAGAGACTTCGCCATTAGTTGGATACTGGAGCAGAACGTCGCGCCGACTTTCTGCTTCCCTGCAAAACCAGATCGCGACTGGTTCGTATTCCAGCTGAGACGTGGGAGGCAGAGGCTAGGACTGCCCTAAATCAACCCTCCCCAATCTCTTCGAGCGGCCCTTAGCTATCAGTCTCCCGGCATAGCTCTGTTGTTATTTTTCAACCAAACTTTTGCACAACTGCAGAAACCTTGCACAATGTTTCACCGGATTCCAGGAGTCGCCTTTGTGTCCTCAGAGGGGGGCAGGCCCTGTCCAAATGCCTCCCTCTGAAGGACGGTCTGCTTGCCAGCTGTGGCCTAGCTTGCCCCCAAAGGCGCGAATGAAGCAGGAAAGCTGCCCTAATGGAAGTGTGGGCTTGCCCCTTTACCCTCTTCGCTCAAGGCAAATACTCCTTGCTTGTCCATGCTGACATCCAAGGCTAAGAGAGAGCAGTCGGTAAAAGCGGTGGTGGCCCCTGTCTTCTTCTCCGTGTGATACATCATGAGCTGCACCTCCAAGCTCTGCCCGATCTCAGCGTCTGCGTGGAACGGCAGGAATTCCATCTTGGAGAGCTTCAGCACGTACACCTGAGTGAGGGGAAGACTAGATGTCGAAAGCACCTGAAAGGCCTCTCATCTGGTGGCTGCTCTGTTTACGTCCAATGAAGGCAAATTCCCTGGCATCTCTCTCCTCCCCATGGCCGTGACAGCTCAAAAGGCTACAGCACAAACCTGTTTCCTCCATGACCAATTTTACTGGTGGGATACAATCTGCCTTCTCTGAGCGCAGAACTTGAGTTTCTCGGCACCGATGCTTTGATATTTTGCTAAAGGCCAGGGCACCCCCACTCCAGTCCCAATTCCTGGACTCTGGAAAGGGCGGCTGGGTGCAAACCTGAGAGAAAACGGGGCTGAGAATTCCTCTCTGTTCTTCAGACTGGTATCGGGTTTCACACGAGGGGTCACACATGGGGCTAATCGGTTTTTCTGTGTTTTCTGGGATAAACCACGGCTGGCTGAGATTGTACAACTCAATGTGATATAAACCATGGATAACGAACCACTAAGAGGTGGCTCGACAGAACTTGCTAAGCAAAACGCAAACCAACTCTCTTTTGGCTTAGAGCACTGCTTTCCTCAGAGGTCCCTAAAAATTTTTGTTTAGAAGGCTGCCTAACTGGCTCTTCTTCCCTCCTTCTCTAGTGTTTTGGACTTAACAGTCAAGTGGAGTTCTGTTCCTTTGCGATCCATCTTCAGGGATTTTTCCTGATTTCAGACTCGCCCTACAGCCCACCGAATGCTCGAGAGCCCCCATCCCGGAATTCACCAAGCCCAATTCTGTTTCTCAGCCCTGAGATGTCTAGCCTGACCCTGGCCCCTTGTTGAGACAGTGCCGACTTCTAAGCGATGGGCCAGGGCTCTAAGAGCTGTGACTCTTTCTGGCTTCTTTGTGGCCAGGGAAAGGCCCGCACTTCAGCGACACTTGCCTGTATTTCCCCAAAATGGAAGGGATTCTGTACGTCTCTGGCCTGCACAGCACTTTGCCCCTCCACCAGCCCTGCGGCAACGACGCCTTTGATAGTGACGGTGGCCACGGTCTGGTTGGAAGAGGTCCATGTGAAGTTGCCGCTACCGCCCTCGACCTGCAGAAAGTTGGGCAGGCTTCAGAGAAAGGACTAGACCCCCTGAAGCCCATCCCAGAAGGCCGTCAAATGCCATGTGGGTCTGAGAGAGAAGGGGAGGGAGGGGCAATATGGCTAGAAGAAGCGAGAAATCTCCTTTCTGGGGGACATTCTGACTGTCCCCCAACAGAAGAGGGGTGGCACCAGCATTGCACGTTTCCTGGTTCCCTGAAAACCTTGGCGTGTCACGAGGATTAAGGGCTAGTGTCACTGTTTTCACGTCAGGTTGACAGTTTTATAACAGTGTATAATTCTGCTCTTAGGCTGGGATTAAATTTTAGGCCCTTTCATACATTTTGACCTTGCCAATTCATTCCCATTTTTCAACACAGGGGCGGTCGTACTTTCTAAATTCACACAAAACTATAAACTAATATGTGTACAAGAGAGGATTTTTTAAAATTATTTTTTATTCTTGGAGCAGCACCTGTTTCTGGTTTCTCCTTCTACAGGAGTTGAACTTGGTTTCTCCTTTAATGATGGAAGATTAACTTGGCCTCGTTCTTGATTTTCTAATGCCGGATGAAAATAGGGTTTATCAAGTAGAACTTTCAAAACTGGCTAATGGTTACTTCAGGGGGTACTGCTCTGGCTATAGTCGTATTCTGACTTTTCCATTTGAATTTTTATTTTTAGAAAAAGTTAGCAACAAAGGCAATTAAAAAAAACCAATGCTTTAAGAATTCTCTTTGAAGCAGGAAATGAGCCTTTCTTTTCGAGAAACCAGCAGCGTTTTCTACCACAGAGAATGCATTTAAAATATTTTTTAAAAACTCAGGACTTGTCAAGCTCACCTGAACTTTATACCGATACAAGAAGTCCAGAGGATGGTGTGGGAAGGCTAAGAAGGAAGGTGTCAGCTTGATGGGGAGATAGATCTTTACTTCTTGCTCATGGCTGATAGGGGACACGAAATAATCTTCCAAGCCACTCTGAAGAGAGATTTTTAAAAATTGTGTGATTTTTAGATACCAGCCACACAGATTATCACCAAAGAAATATAATAATCTGTGATTCTGCAAAAGCATTTAAATAGCCCAGAGTTCTTTTCTTAGTTTTTAAACCTTACCTAGTTAAACATTTTAATGAGAGATGTGCAAAACATTTCAGGGTTGAAACCTCCCAATCCCGCCATACCCCATTTCAATTGTTTTGGAACATCCTGTTCTGATGGTCCAGCTGGAGATCAGAACGTGCTGAGTTTGCCCTCCTTTAACTATTATGATGATTCCTGCAAACTCAGAAACCAGGAGAGGAAAAATTCCTTGGGGGGGGATGAAGAATCTTTGCCTCCTACCTGGAGAAGAACAGACAGCAACATGGCTTTAATAACCGTAACGCCTTCCCTCAGGACCTGAACAATGTGATAGGAGCCGTTCGCGGAAGAAGTGAACTCCTCGAAATATTCCCTGGGAAACTGGTGAGTTATTCGGAGATTCTGGAAATGCAGAAAAACCAGTCAAAATGGAAGGCTGGGGTGGAGGATACGCAGACCAGAGTCCTCCAAATTAGTTTAACAGGGTCACAGTGCAAGACTGGAAGAGTACGCACGTTTTCTCCCCCGGCTGACATCTACTCACATCCGAGGGATAGATCTTGGTGCTCGATTTGTCAAACACTTCAACCGTGATGGTGTACATCCGCATCACCTCCAAGACCCATCTGTTTCCCGGCTGGACAGTGAAGCCTGCAAATATGGTACGAGGGACGCTGAACAAAATGCATTTCCACCAGAGGATCCTCTTTTGGTGTAGAGAACAGACAGCTAAACGGCTGCCTTCTAGAGGGTTGGGGCTGTGGTGATAGTTGTCCAGGCTGATTGGGATTTACAGAAAGGACAACCTCGGACATCTGGTGTTCACTCACATGCAACACAACGTTCTGCAGGAGTTCATCCCTGCTACTTTTTCTCTTAAGGATGAAGTACATGCTTGGGCCCTGTCCCTTTCAGCTTCCTAGATGGAGCCACTGGAACAGCAGGTCTATGGGCTCTTACCTAAAAATCCAGGTTCTACCACATAGATGCTGCAGTTCGGAAGCCCTAGCGACGCTCGCATGTGGATGTCTAAAGGCACACATAAGGAATTCAACTTTTTTGCAACTGAAAGGGGGAAAGTAGAGGGCCAGGGGGATTTCTGTGGCTAAACCAGGCATCTCTGGATCCCTTGGAAGCTATTAAGGTAGGCCAGTGCCAAGGAAAGGTATTTGGATGAAGGAGTCGGGCACAAGTTGGTCTCAGTGGCGAAAGAGACTTTTGCCAAAAAAGGAAGCTACGTTAATGTTTCGCGGCAAAACCGACAGGATCTTGTGGCACCTTAAAGACAAACCAACTAGTTACTGTCTAAGCTTTCGTGAGTCGCAGCCCCACCTCACTGGGTGCCTGATGTATAGTCCTGGGTGTGGCAAAGTCCCTTGCAGAGAGATGGGGAGCTGACTCATGAGTAACAGCAAACGAACACCCCAAAGATGTGGGTGGAAGGGAGGAATGAGAAGAAATGGGAAAAGTCGGGGATAACGAGAGTTACCTCCAGCGACCGGTAGCAAAGGATACTTTTATGGACAAAGGCCAGGTTCACCTGGCCCAGCTGCAAGGCGGTGACGGTGGCTGTGTTCACATCTAGTTGGGCCACTGGGAGAAAGTGAAACCCGCTAGGCGCCTTAACTTCATCCTGTAGTTCGAGCTCGTAATGCTCCAGAGGGAGGTCTACCTCTGCAGGGAAAAGGAGGTGGAGAACCAACGATTTTGAGGAATGAGCTGTTTAGGGGTTTATTAGTCAGTGGGATCTGCAAGAGACATTATTCTAGGGCAGTGTTTCTCAACCTTGGCCATTTGAAGATGGGTGGACGTCAATTCCCAGAATTCCCCAGCCAGCCTTGCTGGCTGGGGAATTCTGGGAGTTGAAGTCCACTCAAAAGGAGGTGGAGAACCAACGATTTTGAGGAATGAGCTGTTTAGGGGTTTATTAGTCAGTGGGATCTGCAAGAGACATTATTCTAGGGCAGGGTTTCTCAACCTTGGCCATTTGAAGATGGGTGGACGTCAATTCCCAGAATTCCCCAGCCAGCCTTGCTGGCTGGGGAATTCTGGGAGTTGAAGTCCACTCATCTTAAAGCGGCCAGGGTTGAGAAACACTGCTCTGGAAATGCTCCTGCTCAGGATACTCCCCTCTATCAGAAAACACACACAAGCAGTGATTTGGGTTCACAGGATGTATTGAACCATGGCTTAACAAAAAAACCACACCTGGTTAGAAACCACACCAGCCTGAAGCCTGCCTGCTTTGATTTAGACCACCGGCTGTTGAGAATCTTATTGAAATCACTCTGACAGCTGTCAGCGAATGCCAGATTCTTTTCCGCCATGCTGAACAAACCGAATGGTCAGCAAGGCTCACGAAACGCACTGGGACACCTCTCAGCCACTTGCACAGGTCACCCCACGGCTTGGCTAGCAAAGGCCCCTGACCAATGTTCAGCCAGGGCATCCGGGAATCAGGGGGAGTGGAACAGCATACCTGTGATCTTTCCCTGCACTATTTTGCCAACTCTGTATTTGATATAAGCGCCCACTAGCAGGTAGACATCGTAGGAAGGCATAAGGAATATATTCTCCAAAACCAACAGACGCACCAAAGCAGCAGCAACTTTCTGGGCGGGGGCAGGTGGGGAGGAACAAAGCACAGGCTTAGATGGGACTCTCATCTGCACACTTTGGCATGGGAAACGGGCAGAGTTGCTTAGCGCAGCGGCAATTTAGCCCCCTCAATTTAACGAACGGGGTCTTGTCTGTGGCTGACCCTGCCTTGCCACCCCTGACGCCCTCCCGTCTGGAAGCAGGCGAGGACCCACCTTGTAAACGGGCTCCTGGATTCGGACCTTGATGACGGCTGCACCGGTTTTGATCCCCGAGACCAAAATCCTATCTCCTTGTTTCTCCTCCTTTTCCATCTGGACGATGTAGTCGGGTGGGGAATATTCAGCCTCCGAGTATTTTAAAATCCTGAAGAGATCAAACTCAGCTTTCACAGGAGGCAAAACACGTAGCTCTTGCAATTGTAGCCCTGTGTGGCTCTGGTCTGAAGGACGACTTAATAAGGGAGGGAAAGAGGAATGAAAGAGCCGAAATTGAAGATGTGGGGCTTCATCTGAGGGTCAGCCGTGGTTCCTCTGAAGGCCTACTGCTGAACTACATCACCTTCGGTTATCCATGCATTTTTTCAGTGAGCGGGGTTACTGTTTATCCTACAGCACCAGGGGGTAATAATGTGATCAAGTTTTTCTGTGTTTTAATCCTTGTGAGCCACCTAGAATCACCTGTGTAAGATGGCCAGCTATATAAATCAGAGAAGTAAGTAAACACAAATAAATCCTACGAAAGCTGAACCAGGAGTGCCTAGCAAAGGAATCTGCATCGCAACACCATCATTCATCTACCCACCTCCAATTCAACATGGCTCCTCTTAATAGGTGGGGAAACACAGGATCCAGTGAGAGAGAATATGCATTCTTTTCATGAGTTATCAACCTCATTCATCAAGACTCCAAGAGACAGAAGGTCTCTCCGATGTAAGAGACACAGTTCCAGGTCCAAAAGGTGAGCCGGCAACCACCCAAAAACATCCCCTTGTGGGCTGCAGACAACTCCACATCCCCAGAAGGCACTTGTTGGAGAAGGCGGATCCAGAACATAAAATGAATTCAAGCCCCCCAATTGAACATCTCCAAATTCTGAGCAAGTAAAGGCATGCCTGCTGCTCTACAAATGGGACTGCAACTTAACCTGGTTCAACAGACAGCATTTTTCTCCAGGATGGTAGGCATCTCATACCAAAAGTTTTGTGTGTTCTTTTTTTTTTTTTAACTAATTTTAACTAATTTGTTTCCCTTCCTCCTAGCTTTGGACTCAAATCAAGACCTTTCAAATTCAACTCTACTTTTGGGGTCCTGCCACCGCCCGATATCATACATTCAATTTACAATCAAGCTTTACTACTCAGGATTTCACCTGACCTTATTTTCTTCGACAGTTCCAAGTTTTCCATTTCATCATCCTTGGCAACACTCCACTCAAATTCCATCCCTTCCAAGCTGCTGAATGTGTTCCCTATAGCGAGAAAACCAAACCAAGTACGGATGTATGGCCATATTAGATATGATGACCATCACATATTCTTAGTCCAGAGTAGCTGAATTTTTAAGAAATGCCCATCCACCCCCCCCAAAAAAGGTTAATAGCTTTTTCCTGGTACCAAAAGAACCACAATGAAGGTACCAGGTGGGCCTCCCTGGGAAGACAATGCCAAAAGAAAGAGCCACTATTGAAAAGACATTTTCTCCAGCTCTGCCTGCTTTAGATGACTGGGAAAATGGATTACAGAAAGGGTTCACATGATCATCTCTGTGGCTGGGCAGGATCAGAAGCCACACAAGAATCTGGATTTGAACAACCAGGGCCTGCTCTGGGTACAGCACCTTCAGCATCTAAAGCTCTCACGCTCAGCTCCAGCGGAGAGTCTTCCACATAGATCTCTCGAGTTCGGGAGACTATTTCAACCTGGTCAATGAGATCCACAATGATGTCACAGCGGAGCAAGTGACCGGTTACTGGGGGGGAAAAAAAACATTATGTCTCCTACCCTCTGCTGCCATCCGGCAAAATCTGGGCTGTTGAAATCAAGCAAGCAAATAACCGAAGGCTCTGGGGCACCCTCCACCAAAGAGAATGTAATGCTGGAACAGCAGCCCTGAGAAACTCTCTGTTCTAGGAAGCCACAGCAGCATCCTGGAATGGAGCCATTATCCACCGTTCCTGTCGTTGAATGCTAAAGATCCGATCAGCTTGTGCAGAAGGATTTTCCTTCAGAAGAAATGGCCCTGGCTGTTCTTGCAAAAATTAGAGCTGAACTGAACAGCAGTTGCTGCTGTGTTTCATCAATTCCTTGGAATGAACAGCTTTCCCCAAAGGGCACAACTTCCAAGGGCTTCTCTGCCCTGCAGGGGCCGCTGGACCCAAGGGTAAACATATCCCATCAGCCACATCCTGCTGTTTGCCAAATAGCCGGCAACGGTCAGTCCTCTGAGGTAGGCCGGGTCAAGAAACAAGACCCTGCAGTGATTCCAGGCACGCTACTTTAATGTTGTAGGGTCTGTTAAGAGAATCCTGAAATCCCACCCAAAACCTTACGGACGACAAGGTCAAGCCTGGGCTGTTTTGACTCCCTCTCTCTTATTTTCCACAACCATTTCACCTCTCCCTCCTCCCTCTCCAGGCCAGAGCTAAATTCCTCTACCCCATCCCATGCTCATAACCCCTGCCCTTCTGTGGGTGAGCTACCCCTCCAGACATGGCAGAATTACCTCTCCCAGCAGCTTCATCCAGGCCAGCATATGACAGCTGTAGTTAAGTGACAGTTGGAAAGCAAGTTTAGGGTTGCCTTCTCCCAGCCTAACGGGCTGTTATACATGGAAGGTGTCATGGTGGGTCATAAGCTATGCAAATCTCCAAATTGGTCAGAGCAGAAGGCTTTCGTGTCCTTATCTGCCCAACTTAGCTATGCACAAGCCAAAAGACATCCTCCTTCAGCTTCCTGTCCCCACCTACCTATCTCCTCTGCTACAATCACGCTGGCTAGCTTTGTGGCCTGCAGAGAGCGGGTGGTGAGCAACGCTTTCTGCGAGCAAACAGTCCCGTTCTCGTATATTGGCTCAATGGTGACTGTGTCGTGGCGTGTGGAGTACCTACGGGGCAGAACAGAAGTGAAGATGCTTAGGCCTCCCCCTGCTTGGAATCCATTTCCAAGCCAGCTTGGCTACAACCAGCAGCTCCCCCCCCCCAAACTCCCCAGCTGCTTTTCTCATCAGCGATTGGTCCAGACTGGATTTGAGGCAGCAGCATTAGAGAGGGAGGCAGTTCCCCGTGGTTCCCATCGCTGGACACCAACAGCCACCTTTCCATCTACAGGAGTCACTGTCATAACTGAGTGGGTGTTTCCTCTCTGCTAAATGTACCTTGTATAAAAGAGGATGCATTTACCAATGGAATAAAAACGTGTTCCCTCAAACGGTATTTTAAGTATTTTAAGAAGCGAAGATATCTTTGTGGCCAGATGCTCCACATTCTGCTTAGGAATAAGCCCACTGACTTCAACAGCATCTAATTCCAAATAAGCAGATCCTGTAGATCAGCGTTTCTCAACCTTGGCGGCTTGAAGATGGGTGGACTTCAACTCCCAGAATTCCCCAGCCAG